GGGAGAGCAAGGAGCACTGCCAAGCAGACCAAGCTGGCGACGATCAACAAAACGGAGCACCAAGGAGAGACAGGGAGAGAGAACTTCGTCTTTTTCACCGGCCTCACTGGACACAGAGGTTGTACCTGTGTCTGCTTTCTCTTTTCCTGGCTGTCTGCTTGTGGTGGTTGCTTTCTGTGAGATCCTGTCTGGATATACCGGTTTTCTGCCAAAAATTTGCAGATCATTTCCTGTATGCCAGGGATGTCTAGCTCAGTCGGCAGAGGGCAAGGCCCTTAACCTGAAGATTGAGGGTTTGAGCCCGCCTTGCACCCGCAGTCAGTGGAAGAGTTGGGGAGGTCCGTTTTGGAGGATTTGGGCTGCTGAGCGGCCAAAACGGACCACCAGAGAGAGAGCAAGGAGCACAGCCCAGCTGACCAAGCTGGCGAGGTCCGTTTTGGAGGATTTGGGCTGCTGAGCGGCCAAAACGGACCACCAGAGGGAGAGCAAGGAGCACAGCCAAGCAGACCAAGATGGCGAGGTCCGTTTTGGAGGATTTGGGCCGCTGAGCGGCCAAAACGGAACACCAGAGGGAGAGCAAGGAACACAGTGAAGCAGACCAAGCTGGCGAGGTCCGTTTTGGAGGATTTGGGCTGCTGAGCAGCCAAAACGGACCACCAGAGGGAGAGCAAGGAGCACAGCCAAGCTGACCAAGCTGGCGAGGTCCGTTTTGGAGGATTTGGGCTGCTGAGCGGCCAAAACGGACCACCAGAGCGAGAGCAAGGAGCACACCCAAGCAGACGGCCGCTAAGTGGACAAAACGGAGCACCAGGGAGAGAAAGGGACAGAGACCGATGAGGTTGGAAGAGGAGGGGAGGTCCGTGTTGACGGATTTGGGCTGCTGAGCGGCCAAAACGGACCACCAGGGAGAGAGCAAGGAGCACACCCAAGCAGACCAAGCTGGCGAGGTCCGTTTTGGAGGATTTGGGCCACTAAGTGGACAAAACGGAGCACCAGACGAAGAGCAAGGAGCACAGCCAAGCAGACCGAGCTGGCGAGGTCCGTTTTGGAGGATTTGGGCTGCTGAGCGGCCAAAACGGACCACCAGAGGGAGAGCAAGGAGCTCAGCCAAGCAGACCAACATGGCGAGGTCCGTTTTGGGGGATTTGGGCAAAACGGACCAGCAAGGGCGAGCACGGAGCACAGCCAAGCAGACCAAGTTGGCAAGGTCCGTTTTGGAGGATTTGGGCTGCTGAGCGGCCAAAACGGACCACCAGAGGGAGCCAGCCAAGCAGACCTTGCTGGCGAGGTCCGTTTTGGAGGATTTGGGCTGCTGAGCGGCCAAAACGGACGACCAGAGGGAGAGCAAGGAGCACAGCCAAGCAGACCAAGCTGGCGACGATCAACAAAACGGAGCACCAGGGAGAGACAGGGAGAGAGAACTTCGTCTTTTTCACCGGCCTCACTGGACACAGAGGTTGTACCTGTGTCTGCTTTCTCTTTTCCTGGCTGTCTGCTTGTGGTGGTTGCTTTCTGTGAGATCCTGTCTGGATATACCAGTTTTCTGCCAAAAATTTGCAGATCATTTCCTGTATGCCAGGGATGTCTAGCTCAGTCGGCAGAGGGCAAGGCCCTTAACCTGAAGATTGAGGGTTCGAGCCTGCCTTGCACCCGCAGTCAGTGGAAGAGTTGGGGAGGTCCGTTTTGGAGGATTTGGGCTGCTGAGCGGCCAAAACGGACCACCAGAGGGAGAGCAAGGAGCACAGCCCAGCAGACCAAGCTGGCGAGGTCCGTTTTGGAGGATTTGGGCTGCTGAGCGGCCAAAACGGACCACCAGAGGGAGAGCAAGGAGCACAGCCAAGCAGACCAACATGGCGAGGTCCGTTTTGGAAGTTTTGGGCCGCTGAGCGGCCAAAACGGAACACCAGAGGGAGAGCAAGGAGCACAGCCAAGCAGACCAAGCTGGCGAGGTCCGTTTTGGAGGATTTGGGCTGCTGAGCAGCCAAAACGGACCACCAGAGGGAGAGCAAGGAGCACAGCCAAGCTGACCAAGCTGGCGAGGTCCGTTTTGGAGGATTTGGGCTGCTGAGCGGCCAAAACGGACCACCAGGGAGAGAGCAAGGAGCACACCCAAGCAGACCAAGCTGGCGAGGTCCGTTTTGGAGGATTTGGGCCACTAAGTGGACAAAACGGAGCACCAGGGAGAGAAAGGGACAGAGGCCGATGAGGTTGGAAGAGCAGGGGAGGTCCGTGTTGGAGGATTTGGGCTGCTGAGCGGCCAAAACGGACCAGCAGAGGGAGAGCAAGGAGCTCAGCCAAGCAGATCGACATGGCGAGGTCCGTTTTGGAGATTGGGCAAAACGGACCAGCAAGGGAGAGCACGGAGCACAGCCAAGCAAACCAAGCTGGCAAGGCCCGTTTTGGAGGATTTGGGCTGCTGAGCGGCCAAAACGGACCACCAGAGGGAGCCAGCCAAGCAGACCTTGCTGGCGAGGTCCGTTTTGGAGGATTTGGGCTGCTGAGCGGCCAAAACGGACCACCAGAGGGAGAGCAAGGAGCACAGCCAAGCAGACCAAGCTGGCGACGATCAACAAAACGGAGCACCAGGGAGAGACAGGGAGAGAGAACTTCGTCTTTTTCACCGGCCTCACTGGACACAGAGGTTGTACCTGTGTCTGCTTTCTCTTTTCCTGGCTGTCTGCTTGTGGTGGTTGCTTTCTGTGAGATCCTGTCTGGATATACCAGTTTTCTGCCAAAAATTTGCAGATCATTTCCTGTATGCCAGGGATGTCTAGCTCAGTCGGCAGAGGGCAAGGCCCTTAACCTGAAGATTGAGGGTTCGAGCCTGCCTTGCACCCGCAGTCAGTGGAAGAGTTGGGGAGGTCCGTTTTGGAGGATTTGGGCTGCTGAGCGGCCAAAACGGACCACCAGAGGGAGAGCAAGGAGCACAGCCCAGCAGACCAAGCTGGCGAGGTCCGTTTTGGAGGATTTGGGCTGCTGAGCGGCCAAAACGGACCACCAGAGGGAGAGCAAGGAGCACAGCCAAGCAGACCAACATGGCGAGGTCCGTTTTGGAGGATTTGGGCCGCTGAGCGGCCAAAACGGAACACCAGAGGGAGAGCAAGGAGCACAGCCAAGCAGACCAAGCTGGCGAGGTCCGTTTTGGAGGATTTGGGCTGCTGAGCAGCCAAAACGGACCACCAGAGGGAGAGCAAGGAGCACAGCCAAGCTGACCAAGCTGGCGAGGTCCCGTTTTGGAGGATTTGGGCTGCTGAGCGGCCAAAACGGACCACCAGGGAGAGAAAGGGACAGAGACCCACCGCCAGCTCTCGTTTGATGAGGTTGCCGTGCCTGTGCGCGCACAAGAAACCAATGGAACGTATCATCCCACCCCAGCCACCCCAACCCCACCACCCCCCCACTGCCCCACCCCCACCCCACCCCACCCCCACGAAAAGAGCCACCCATTGGGAGGTGTCGTTTTGGAGGATTTGGGCTGCTGAGCGGCCAAAACGGACCACCAGAGGGAGAGCAAGGAGCACAGCCAAGCAGACGAGGCTGGCGAGGTCCGTTTTGGAGGATTTGGGCTGCTGAGCGGCCAAAACGGACCACCAGGGAGAGAAAGGGACAGAGACCCACCGCCAGCTCTCGTGTGATGAGGTTGCCGTGCCAGTGTGCGCACAGGAACATGGACGTTATCATCCCACCCCACCCCACCACCCCACCCCCACCCAGTGGGAGAGCTGGGTAGGTCCGTTTTGAAGGATTCGGACTGCTGAGCGGCCAAAACGGACCACCAGAGGGAGAGCAAGGAGCACAGCCAAGCAGACGAAGCTGGCGAGGTCCGTTTTGGAGGATTTGGGCTGCTGAGCGGCCAAAACGGACCACCAGGGAGAGAAAGGGACAGAGACCCACCGCCAGCTCTCGTGTGATGAGGTTGCCGTGCCTGTGTGCGCACAGGAACATGGACGTTATCATCCCACCCCACCCCACCCCACCCCAACCCCCAACCCCACCACCCCACCCCACCCACCCTAAAACCAGATGGTGTCGCAGATGAGGGGAAAATGGTGTCGCAGATGAGGGAAAATCAGGGGGGTTTTGGTGTCACAGATGAGGGGGATTTGGTGTCACAGATGAGGGGCTTACCTATCTTTCCACTATGTTGTTATCTTCTCTATCAACTTCCAACTACGCTAACATCCCTTGTAAGACATCTTCCAAGTACGTTGTTATTTTCTCTATCAACTTCCAACTACGTTAGCATCTCTTGTAAGACATCTTCCAAGCACGTTGTTATCTTCTCTATCATCTTCCAACTACGTTAGCATCCCTTGTAAGACATCTTCCAAGTACGTTGTTATCTTCTTTATCAACTTCCAACTACGTTAGCATCCCGTGTAAGACATCTTCCAAGTACGTTGTTATCTTCTCTATCAACTTCCAACTACGTTAGCAACCCAATGGCGCTGGGAATCTCTGAAGCACAGAGATTTCCTCATGTCTCTGACTGGCAAGACCTTGGCACAGATGTGACCAAATTGATGTCACCAGCTCCGCAGAAAAATAACCACTTTCATGTGCAAAAACTATGGCCCCACTGTCACTTTGTGGAATGACCCCCAAAAAATAGAGTACTTTTCTGGGGATGAAATGTCAAAAATTGATGGCCTGCGCACAGAAAAACAATAAAACCAATGGAAATGAGACGAACATCACATGAAATCCATTGCAAAACACACAGAATCCACAAACATCCAAAAGGCAACGCCGCCACGTTCAATTACCCACCCGGCGGGACGATTGACGATGGTTGCTGGAGCTCTACCTCTTCACCACTTCTTGACGTGTCCTCTTGAGGAATAGGTATTTGTTGGATTTTGTTGGTTTGTACATTGAAAAACGGGTTTCTTGAACTAGCTGCTGCATTCAGCTGAAACTAATTTGCACCAAGTTGACTTTTGGAAAACAAGTACTACCAGTCTACCAGTACAGTGAAGAGCTCATTTGCGCTACGACAGGAAGAGGACACCGAGGAGCCGCAGATCCTCATTACCCCCATTGTTGTGCCACCAGAGAAGGCTCACCTTTGAAGCAGTCGCAGGGATTCAGAATTCAGACCCTAGTTTTTTGGATGTTTTTGGATGTTTTTGTATTCTTTCCAACAAAATCATGAACAGCTGTGAGAACGGAAATTTGTACCACCCAACTCACCCAACTGCCAGTTCCTTTACGTCCTGCTTGTGAAGAGGCCGGCGCTTCATCACCGCGAAAGAAACTAGACATGAGGCCATCTACGGGATCTCTTGCTCAGATGCGTGCAGCATATCCCACCGCGGCAGACCGAAATCTGGTTCGAAACTTGGGCACGGAATGTTGGTACGCATCCAGACGTCCAAAGTTCATGAAAAACTGAAAAACAAAGGATGGGTGAGGTGAGACTGCCTTGTGACATGACCGGGAGTATGGCGATTATGGGTGTGCCACATGCTGTGCCACATGCTGTCCACTGTTTCTGTTTTGCTTGACAGTCAGACGATAACCGTTCTTTTTTGGTCCACGGCTACAACTCAGCTGCCAGGAGGAGAGCCAATGCCAGCAACGCTGGCAGCGGTCCAGGTCAGCAATAAGGGGAAGTCCCACAAAGTTCCGCTGGGTAAAGTCGGGAGTTGTATGGGCCAACCAAGTGAGGTCCTTTGTCTAAGGATTCATAAGTTCTTTCAGATGTTTTTTTCTGCAAAGGTGAGAAGAGCACCGGAAGCTGTTTCAAGAGGGGCATCCCATCCCAAATCCAGTAGACTCGCTGTGCTGCTCTACAGGTTCACAGGTGATTCTTGAGTGGATAGCAATCAGTTCACTTGTTGTTTCTTTGGGTATCGAGTTTGACCTGATTTGACCTCCGGACAAACAGGATTTTGAGGAGTAGTTTCCCAAGGCTCAAGGTTTTCTGGCGAGGTCTCATCTTGGTTTCATCGTGATTTCACAGAGTGCTGGCAATGTCAGAAGCCGTCATCCAACATCCTTCTGGATAGGAAGTTTTGGAACGGCCAGACGCTTGTCAGGTGCGACGTTTGAACAACTCTCCAAAGATGTGTCATGATGTTTCGGTCAAAATATGTCAAAGTTCTGGGACCTGGAATGAGGCTTTCGTGCTCAGGCATTATTCCATTTGCTCAGAATCAGTGTGATTCACTTTAGATTTCACTAGAAAGGACGCTTACAGTAGCTGACAGGGCCTTTGCTTGTGTGGCTGACAGCCCGTAGAGAAGTTTCCCTAAGACCAGCAAAGCAGCAACCAGGAGGCATATCTCCCCTGCTGGGTCTGCTGGGTCTGCTGGGTCCTCTGTCCAGGACATCCAACAACGGCCAGTGGAGCGAATACGGTGGGGAAACCAAGGTGTCAGAATGAGCTCTGAGTGCCCTTGACAATTTCAGATTGTCTTGGAACCAGTGGGCCGAGGTCACAGTAGATATTCCAGCTCCCTCATCTTGAATCCAATATCCAAGCATGCACTTTGACTTACTGTTGAGAAAATTTCTTGGAAGAAACTAGATGGACAAGGAACATGAAGGACTGACATAAAAGAGTTGCATTGCTGGTCTGCTCAGCAGTCGCGCTTGAAACTGCAAACAAGAAATGGAACATATACATTTGTATGATTTTGTATGTGTATATGCACGGCATACACATCATTTCAAAATTGTCAACTCAGCATTGTGAACATGGGCTTCGTAGGTCCCTGCAGCAAGTGGTTTGGAATGACGAACAAGCGCTACTCAACCAAGGCCCTCATTGCTCACCCTAGCTGTTTCGATGTCGTCAAAGAAAGGTGGGTGCTTTTGCCGAATTGGGGAAGGGGATGTGGCAGACCAAAATGGCTCCATGATGTTCATGTTGCGGCGCGGCGGAGTTGGGACGGCGAATGCAGATTGGCAGGGGATTTCCTCATTGCGGGGTTTATTTGCAGGTTCATTGACATTCAAGGGCATTACGCAAATCCTCAGAGAAGCCTGCTTGCCTACTCGGCAGAAGTCTTATTTCTCATCCCTCATAAATTTCCTGACATTTGCGCCACATGTTCACTTGCAACTACTAACGCTTTGCCATTCACCACCATCTTGATCTAGTTCTTTGGGCCCACATTACTGCAGCAACTTTCCAATGTGGATTTCCTTGTCCACAGGTCCAAAGTGGGCAAGTCCAAACGACCAGACACCAGCGAGAAAGGTGTTGACTTTTGGCTCCTTGAACTGGAACGGGCATGGGAAAAGTATTTTCGGGATCCAGGCAGCCGCTGATGGGATTGGCTAATGACAATCCTGACTGGCAAAACTATTACACCATATTAACAACATTTCACGATATTTCACGATATTTCACGCGCAAATTTCAGCTCCCCCAAGCTTTAGGTCATCCCATCCTCTTCCATCGCCGGGCCGGGGTGTTCCAGGTGCTGGGACGGGGTCGGGCCATGTGTTTGCACTCGGCCTACCTACGACTAAGTGTAATATGGTGTAATGCGATAGTTTTCATGAATTCGATGAAACGATGAAACAGAACATGGTTTAGGAGTTCAGAGTTCAGGGTACCATGTTTTCACGTGTTCATTATGATGCCTTTCACGTGTGCAGTACACCCATCATGCAAAGACACTGTAGTAACTTGCAACAATGGGCACAAGTTCCCACTTTTCAAGCCGACCCATATCTCATATACATATTAGTCATATTGAGCTCATTCTTCTGTGAGTCTTCTTGCCTCTCGGATCGGTACAACTCCGGCTCAAACCAAGGCCAGAAGGCCCGTAGGTATTCAATGAGGTGAATTTCGGAGTTCCCAACTGACTTTTCATCAACGTGACATGGGTTCAACTCCACATCGTGCCGCGAAGCCCTTCACTATCTTCACTTGTGGGAAAGTAAGGCTTTCTATCAATGCTCAGCACAGTCATGCATCGGGTTGCAACATGTAGATATCATCAGTCCCACATACTATCAAGAATATAGACGTGTCAACAATCCTCTCATCACTATCATCACTATCATCACTATGAGTATTCAGCAACTTTTCAAAATGACCATCGACTGCTTTTTCTGAGCCATGGAGATTCGAAAGGTGCGTTTGTGCACACCATGGACAGAGCCCCAGGCCAGGACATTGGCATTGGACCGATTTCTCCATGTGCGGAAGTGAATCCACAAATGGCTTTTTGTGTGATTGATTGTGATTGTGTAGATTCGTTAGATATCTCTGGATATTTTTAGTACATAATGGCTAGGATCAAGTGAAGCCAGCAAGTGAATTTAATTGGTCACACAATGCGATGAGATTGCGGGCTTGGTTTGATCAGCTGCCATGCAGCCAGGGATACGAGTTTGTTTCTTATCGCATGCGCATCCTTTCGGTTTGTCCATAATCTCCCTCCTATCAAATCAAGACCAATCCAAAACCACCTGACCAATTGGCAGGTCTTATGGGAAGGCCGTGCTCCGGAGCTGATCATATCGGACTTTGGTGCAGTTCTTCAGGCAGTTGCACGGGAGCAAACGCATGGAGAGTACCTAAATCACGCTGACCAACACACACTCGGCGCAGATGGCATGCAGTTTGACAGACCCTTACGCTCCTGTCACCCTCCCCAATACTGCAGACCGGAGCTTGATTGAAGTTAATAGTAAGTATAGTCAAACTTAATAGGTAGCCTATTCCAAAGCAAGGCCGTGGTTCCCGAGGCCAAGGCTGTATCTAACACATAAATACAAAATATATCAGAATACATCAAAATATATCAACATCTAAAAAAAATCCTGATTGCATCAAATTACACGCAACATAGGACATAAGATAAATAAAAAGGGCATTGTTGTAGGTCTTTCCAGCTGGTTTCCACATCCAGGGCGGTGTGAGTAGCAATTCAGCTGTCCGCCCCGGCACCTGGCGCCTGGGTCTGCTGGAGGGCCCCATGCCACCCGAGGCCTGGTGGGTGTTCCAGGAAACCATGGTGCCTGGATGTACTGGTACCGCTGGATCCACTATATATACAAAGATAATTTTCCCATATTTTCCTTATGAAATTTGGCATTTTTGTTTGATTTGGTTTAGGGCTTAGATGGGTTTAGGGTTTATGGTGTTGACCGGTCGTGGCGTGTGCGGTTGACGGGGCGGCTGTAGATACTCTTTAACGCAGCCCCTCATCATTGCATTTGCTCAGTCAAGACAGAAAAAACTCGATATTTTCCATCGCCATCTAAAGGGCTTGAGGACAATTCTTCAAGTACCCACAACATTCGTTGACAGGAGGTACACACATGCGCGTGTTTATGAACTCGCTTCACAAGTGGCGTTTCCCAACAAACCAACCAAGCGTGTTACACCTTTTTTCAGAAATATTGGATGAGAAGCGAGTTCGTTTAGCAGGACGTATATATCTTGGGAATCCTTTAAGGCAAGCGGCGCACGAACCGGGGACAGCAGCAGTTTCAACCTTGGTAAAAGGAGAGTAGGAAGACCGAGACAAAGTTTGACATACAATACTAACGAATTTATTCGCGCCATGCGTCGGATGATCTAGCTTCAGATCACCAAAGCCAACATATTCTTGAACTTGCCAGACAAAGTTCATTTAAGCCAGGCGCCCAAGCGTCTCACATCCTTGCAGTACCCTTCCACGAGATGCATGGTAGTAGAAGTCTTTGTTGGCGGCCCCGTTGTCCGGACATAGCTCTTCACTGCGTTTGTCGTTGGGGCTTCGGACCTCTCTACACCGGCGTTGGCCGGTGTTGCTGACATTCTTCCAAATCTTTCTTGCCTTCTGTGGTGGTGAACAGTTCCACCAGCTGCTGACACCTGCCTTGCACAATCCCTCTGACGGCTCTAAGTCCTGAAAATGGTACTTCAGCGTGAAAGCCCTAATTTCACAATCGGCCGCGTGAGAGCGCACTCCCTTGGCCAGAGCAACACGCTGAACATATTTCGTCCAAAACATTGCCCAAATGCTAAGAAGTTAGCAGAATGCCCTCGGTGACCCCACGGCCCCATTAAATGGGCTGCCGGTTTGCTCTACATAAGGGCGAAGAAACCATTTCAGCAATCGGTTTTCCCAGGCGGCTTTTTTGACACATTCTTGCTTCTGTGCCATGTCCGTCTTCTTGCCTTTGCTGCTGCGTTTGCCTTTCCCGGCATCTTTCCATTGGCTTTCTGTCAGGACGACTTTTTCTTCAAGCAGCTCTTCAGCTCTTGTGCTCTTCGGCTCGCCTGTACCTGTTTGCTTCTTGCAACCTTTTGGCGATCTTTGGTAATTCTTGGCATGTTGGCCGTTTGTGGTGTAAAAGCAATATGCAACATTTGACATTTTTAGGCATTTTTGGGCAAAGGCATTCTTGAGGCTGAAATTCACCGATTTCAAAATGAAGCCGTAAACCTGCCCCCAAGAAGAACGTACCACCGCGGAGCAAGCAAAAAGGGTCAAAAGTGTATTTTTGTGGGTTCCAACAAATACAGCAGATTGAACTATGCCAGGACTAAAATCCACAATTTCCAAACCGTAAACTCAAGTTTGAGCCCCCGGCAACGTAAAATAAACACCGCCGACAGAGGCCAAAACGGCTTACGATTTGGGGACATGACGTTCTTTCTTATATGCGTAAAAGTGTCGTGCTAAACCTTTGTGTGCCTCGTGTGACGGTATGGCTATGGCCTGACATGGCCTTACTAGTGAAGCGTATGTTTCAAGCCCAAGCAAAAGGCTTAATTAACATTAATTAACATTAATTAACATTAATTAACATTAATTACCATTAATTAACATTAATTACAATTAATTAACATTAGTTAACATTAATTAACATTAATTAAGATGAATTAACATGAATTAACATGAATTAACATGAATTAACCCTCTTGCAGCAGTTTGCATTTCCGTTGTTAATAAGAGAAAAGTACGCTCGGGTCGTAGACCCTCGGTAGACCCTCGGGCGCACGAAACCTGCTGTATTGCGCCTACAGCTTCTGGGATTAACGCTTTAGGGTCTAAAGTTTGGCTATTAAAAACGCATGAAGAAATTGAGGGTACACCATGGTATTTCCCATTTCCACACACACATCCATATGATGTGTCAGGTTGCAACCTATGTTCTTGCGTTCTCGACTTCAAGATATGTCAAACCCACAAGGATCATCCATAGCAAATGTCTAGATTAACGCACGTGTTATGACACTGGCTTGGTGCGGTTGGGGTTACAGTAATTGGAATTTTCAGTGACTTTCCCAAATTTGGAAGTCAGTTGAGGTCAGAGGTCCGCTAGGTTGACCACAGATTGTGACAACAGGGGCTGCGGAGCCTGGTGCTGGCTGCCCCCGAGCGTCCAGAACGACTGGATCTGCCCAAGTACGACCGAGCTGCGCTGCAGGGACGACTCAGGGGTGGATTTTTTGAGAACCAACTTTACCTCACGGTTTTGTCGGACGTTTTTCCAGGGTGGTGTGTTCATGTTTATGCGGTCCTTGGCTTCTTGGGTCCGGATAGAGTTCGGCTACAGTGGAACCACAAAATATATGAATATTTCTGATGATGGCTTGCAGCCACAGTCGTCGTTAAGGTTGGACATTGAAGGAGAGAGGTTGACCCTGATTCAAGGCCTGGTCTCCTGGAACTGGCCATGCATTCGGTCTGAGAGGGAATACATTTTGGCAGCCCTAGTAGCCTTGGCGGCCTAGAAGTCCCTTTACTTTTACGCACCTTCCACAAACCGTTTTGGACTGTTGAATGTGTATGTCTCTTTACAAACAATTTGTATTTGCAAAGCGCTCACATGTCGTCTACATGTTTCCGTGATATATGTATAGAACTGCAAACTAATTCCGATTAATTCCGTGCATTTCATACTATGATTTTTGAGCAGATATTAATATACATACATGTCAGAGTCAATGTAATTGTTGAGAGCAGTGAACCGGCCCAACCAGTCAACATCACTATTCTCACAGTGAGCTAATGACCTTTGCAAAGGTGATGGTGCCATCGTTCGGATACAGCTGCTTGGTGCACTTGGTGCTATTAATTTGGGAAGGGCATTGGAAGGGTCCCATGCTGTGTGGTGCAAAGGAGGACTCGTGCACAGTGTGGCTACGGTTGCTGTCAGTGAGGCTCAGTGGTGTGGCCTGGCTATTTGCAGCGCAGCAGAGCTTCAGCATCGAGAAGCAGCGCATCTGTCGCTGGTTGATTTGATGGTTGGTATGAAGTTGGATGTGCAGATTGTGTTTTGGTAGTCATCCTGAAACCAGAAGGATCCCTGCATATATATATATAATAATATATATATATATAATAATATATATATAATATATATATATATACACAGTGAACACATGATATGTACTTGACAATTCTGTGCGCTGTGGCATCATTCATCGATTCTGCTTCTCATGAGGCGACAAGTTTCCTATTCGGAGCGCTGTCTTGGCATCCGAGGTTTTCGCCAAAGTGAGAACTTTGTCTTTCTGGAAGGCTTCTACACCAGCACCTTCCTGCCTACAAAGCAAGAAGATGAGGTCATCGGCACTCTGCCTGCTACATGCCGGCCAGCTGGAGGCCGACGCTGTTTCCTACTTGCACACAGAAGGCCCAAACAATTTAACATTAACTAACTTGGTTGTGCAGGTCTATTTACTCTTGGAACTACTGCTTCAAAAACGCAACCCACTTTCAATTGCAAAACAACAACATTGGAACTCCCTGATTCTTTTTGAACTTCGAGGGCCAGGAACATTTTTTGTGCTTCAGACAGACCAGTGCCCCCCAGACTTCAAACATCTTCAGACAAATCCCGAAACAATTAGTGCAGACTCTGCAGTCAACCCGGCATATGGCCTGGGCCGATGCAAGTGAGAGTGTGCTGGACCAAACCTAAGCCTTTGATTCACATTGTGCCCGATCGTGCCTGGTTGGATGCTCCAAGATGCTCCAAGGCTACTTGTCTGTCTGTTTCTACGACAACCATATACATGTTCCTTGGCACTGCAAATCAAGCCTTTGTCTCAGTTTTGGCACAGATAGATTGATCATGTTGGTCAGCTAGCATTATTGCCAGTTACAAAATATTTGCTGGTGTGCCCGGGCGAAACATCTGCTTTGATGCACTTCGATTGTTGAATGTCCATGCACAGTTTT